AAGGGGCTATCCTGTATAAATATAGATGTCTACTCTACTCTATACTGTAGCAAGTCTGTCTACTACCTTGTTGTTCTTTTTTTGCTTTGCTTTGTTTGGTTTTGTTTTTTTTTTTTCCTTTGGTATGCTTGCTTTGTTTGTTTCTTTCTATAGCTCAGCTATAGCTCAGCTAAGAAGGTATGCTTGCTTTGTTTGTTTCTTTCTATAGCTCAGCTAAGAAGTACAAAACACACGCACAAGACGCAAGAAAAGAATTATGACTGTCTTCATCTCTCAGTCCCAACCTCCTTGCGTTCATGCCGTGTTCGTTAAATCCCCTACGAAAACACAATAATCTATTGCTTGTTGATCTGCTGTGGTTTAAGTTGTTGCTGATGATGCTTTTTCTTTTTCTTACCTCTGGGTAGTTCTTAGAGGCAAAAAGAATTGTCTCAGTAACAAGCTGGGCATCTGCCTCGGGGCTGTCTGCATCCCTGCTGGTCTGGTAAATAAAGAGTTGTTGATTTTGATTGTAACTCGCCATTAAAACAACAGAAAAACATCATAACCGCAGTTAAAATAATCATTCCACACTAGTTAAATTAAAAAATACAATAATTAAAGAAAAATATAATAACTACAACCAGTGTAACAATGATACTATAGGGTTAGTATAAAAATACTTGAAAAAAAGCTACATGTAGCTCAACACCCCAGCTCCAGCAACTTAAGAACGAATTTCCGTTAAAACGATAGAAAAAGTAGAAAAACATGAGAAAAAATAAGAAACTTTAAATTTACTCCATTAGATTTCATCCAAAAGCAAGCTGATAATCAAAGCATCATTTCTACATCTCTTAACTGATCGGTCCATGTACTGAAAAGTTCAGTGATTTCAAAATTAATTTGCTAATGCATAAAAACAACTGCATATAAACATATCAACATGCACGCAGGAATTCAGAATACTTTGAAATTAGTATTTTGGTATAAATATTATGTTGCTTTGCAAATGAGGCTAAAACGAAGAAAACTGTTGACAAAGAGAAGTAATACCTTGAATAAAGAAAACCTTGCAGATTAGCTGGAACAGCAACAGTTTTCATTAATCCTGGGCTGGGGTGTTGAGAAAAAAAAATTAAAATTTTAGATAGTTATAATTTATAGACTAAGTGTAGTAACATTTTACTGCATGGGTGGTCAGTGTTCATAATTAAACTTTAAAATGTTGCATCTAACATGATACTATTTTAGCATTTTTAAGTCAGATCCAAACATTTTAAAGCTTTAATGTAGTAACTTGATACTGTTTAAATAAACCTTGGACTCATGTTTAGTATAATTTATAATTGGTGGGTACATTAGATAGGAATATTTGCATACTTTAATGAAAAACTTAAAGGGTTTTTCTTTTAATGTGTATGTGAAAGGTTGAGTGGGAACTGGGGATAGGGGTTGGGTTAGGATCAATGTGTATGTGAAAGGTCGAGTGGGAACTGGGGATAGGGGTTGGGTTAGGATCAGGAGAAGAACTACCAACAAATTCTACCCACTTGTGACACCAGGCTTTGAAATGAAACCCAGACAGAACAGTGGAAGGTGGAGAATGAGTCACTGGAGTTGAACTGGACAGTTCTTTTTTATTTGTGTGACTAGAGAGTAAGACAGTTCTTTTTTATTTGTGTGACTAGAAAGTAAGTTTCTTGTGGCCAACTCAGGTGTAAGAAAAGCAACACAATTTTTCCCTAAAGAGGTTGACTTTTTATAACATAATGAACATAGTACACATCATCTGATTGGTCAATTCAGTTTCCAAGCGTATGTTTTATCAGGTTATAGACCCAGCATTTGTTATATAGAACTTATAAAAGCAATAGAATGCATTTTACCCAGGCAGGCTCTTTAATGTAATAAAGCCACCTGGGATGTTGGAAGAACACTCAGAAAGCTTATAAATCATTTGCCTTCGGCTCATGATTTATAAGCTTTCCTCATGTTCTCCCAACTTCTTGCATGGCTTTATCACTTAATTTATTTATAGAGCCGATAAGAACATGTTCCATGCATTGACAAATTTGGCACTAATTGTGATTTACTAAGTACTTCAACTAAGGGAATTTCACTTCTACAATTATCTGAGTGTGCTTTCTTCAAATAGTTGACATTATAACTCACAAAGTAGAATAATCATGTAACATGACTGCATTTAGAACAAATACCTGTGAAGAACTGCAATCTGGCTTGAACCGTTTGCTCTTGACAGTTTCAGGTTTGGATAATGGCGTTCTGCCCAATAATTCACAGACCTCTGACAAAAAGTATTCTGTCACATCATGAGTGAATCCTGGAATGACCAGACTGGGACATCTAATCATAAAAGAAAAGTAAATAAAAAATAAATGAAACAGTGCCTGTCTAAAACATTCTATGCCAACTGATGGTGAGGTGGCATTTATACTATGTATTTGTTATTATTAATAATGTTCTAATGTGCCAATACAAGAGACTGTATTAAGCAGTTTAAAACTATTTTGTTTTGAAAGGAAATTTTGCAGGTTACCCCAATTTTGGAAAGGAAGCCAAACCATAACACTGGGATAATTTGGATATATCAACAAAGTTGAAATGGTAAATTGGCCACCGTGACGATTACAAAAGCTGACGTTTTGAGCGTTAGCCCTTCGTCGGAGCAAATAGACGAAGGGCTAACAACGAAGGGCTAACGCTTGAAACGTCAGCTTTTGTAATCATTACGGTGGCCAATTTACCATTTCAACTTTGTTGATATATCCAAATTATTTCCCTACTCCCACCGACACAGCCCCAAACAGTTTCTTTCAAAACTATCAGCCTTTATTCATAACACTGGGAGCCATGTTCCTTACTCTTTGCTAGAAGTGCATGGGTCCTTAAACCTCCCCTGCTAACCAGTACAGAGAAGATGAAGGAGATGGGGCCTAAAGTTTATTTTCCTTATCCAAGACTACTAAAGCATCTAACAATTAGCAGATGTCATGGCAAACGCAGGGCATTCTCCTCAGTTATTTTTAAAAGACCCTATATGTTGGTCTGGTTTGTGGCTTCAGACTGGACATTTAACATTCTTCACTCACTGTTTGAATGTTAACCCCAGCATAAACAAAACACAACAGCATTGAATTCATTAGATACCCTCGAAAATACTGTGAGAATCTTTCTGAATTCACAGTCGCACTCATCACAATGATCTTCACGTCCTGGTTTTTTCCAAGCAAATCTTTCAGGAGGATTAGGAGAAAATCTGTGTTGATATCTCGTTCATGGACCTCATCAACTATGACATGACTGACACCTGTCAAAAAAGTACAACAAAGGAGATAAAAGATGTAAAGTTTTAAATTAACTTTTTTGGAAGTAGTTCACTTATAGATTTTTCTTCAAAGGCATTCATTACCTTGCCAAAAGCTGTTTAGAAAACAAAATCAGCTGATCACATCTTGTAAGTTAAGAGAAACAAAACCAGCACACTATATACCAGTTAATCATATTAAATCCAGACTGCTGCAAACTAGCTTAGGATGAAATTTTTTCAGTAACTTTGCTGTAAGCTGCGACCATAAAAATTTCTACTTGCATATGGGTATATTAAAAAAACAAAATAATTTATGTACCAAACACAAATTAAAACACATACCAAACACAAAAAAAGCAAATGAAAACATTTTTACTGAGTGAGGGTAATGGAATTTAGTGGGTTAATCACCCCTTCCCCCCCTCCCCCCTAAAAAATTGTTTGTTAAAACTGGGAGATATGTAAAATTTTTCTTCGTTTGTTTTTTACTGAATCATTTAAAAATGTATTTATTTACTTGCCTTTTAGAAGCACATTACTCTGCATCCTTCTGAGCAGTATTCCTGTGGTGCAAAACAATATACAGCCCTTTTGTGATGGCAGTCTGCCCTCTAATCTAACCTGAATATGAAAAATGCCACGACCAACAATAAACATGATTAAAAATACACATCAATTGGAAAAGAAAAAACCTACACAAAAGTAGCCCAAACACTGACAGTCATGTAAAGAGTTGACTATAAGATCTCACACACTCAGTCCGGTTACAAGAAGCAGAAGGTTTTGGTCATGAAATGACAAGATGTGGTGGAGAATGTAAACAGAATGATGTAGATTGACTGCAAGCCTTGATATGCAACATATTACCTACCTCTCAGTCACATCTTAATAAGCATTACAAGCCAAAAACTCAATGATAAATATTTTACGCAATAATTAAAATATAGGTCCTCTGAAACAATACCTGGTATCCCACACTCTTTCCAAGCATCTCTCTCCTTTCTGAAGCCACTCTCTCCGCAATTGACATGGCTACTATACGACGTGGCTGCAAAACAACATGAGCAATAAAAACAAAAAAATTACTTTGTAATCCAGATTTTCAATTGTTTTCATACTCCTTGGTCTACCATCTTTAATGAGACGCACACTGTTCCCCGACTCCCAAGTCTGTGCTAATGCCAAAAAAAATGCTCATCAAATCCCCACATTACTTATTCTGTACTTCGCATATCAACAAGTAAAAGTGATATTAAGGGTACAAATATTTTAGGTGACAAAGTGAGGACACAGAACTATGTCACTAAATGACTTGCTATTTTCTTTTTTATAAAAAAGTTGTTAAGCAATGCTCTTTAATAGAAGAAAATCATCATGATTACAGACAAATGCCTGAGAGCAAGACCAGAAGAGTCATATTTCATCTGATGATTGACTAGACTATACGAAATTGGCATGATTACAAGACACAGGTCATGGTAAATGATTAATTAATTGCATAATATCATCAATTAAATTAATTGTACCTGTGTAACCATGATGTTGCAGGCTGAACCATTGCCTTTTTGTATGGCATCATCCAGTATAAACTGAGGAATCTAACAAGTCACAATGACAGGACAAATTTCTCCTTTAAATTCCTGTGAGTGACCAAGACAGAACTTCCCCTTACAACATCAATAAAATATCAAGCAAACTAATTATGAGAAAGAGGAAAAAAATTGGACCATACATGTACACCAAATTGAAATATGGCGTCCCATTTGAATCACCATTGTTCTGGACTGACTAGCCTTGTCTTCACGTGGAAACACCAAAGGATTATCACATGTGTGAGAGGCTAGTGAGTCCAGAACAATGGCAATTCAACTTGGACACTATATTTCAATTCGGTGTATTAGTTGATCCAAAGCCAAATTCTCCAAATTAACATCATGTGCACTGTATGGCAGACAGTGAAGAAAATTTCTTAAGAAATAAGATATTGGGGGTGAAAAGGCTACAGCCTGTAATGCCGACGTTTTATTTTCTCCTTTTTGAACACAAATTTTCAAGTATATAGTGTAAGTAAATACCAAATTCAAAAAATACCTAACAGAGTTTTGCCACCTTATCAAAAAATAAGTAACAAAACATTTTTTTTCCATTGAAACAATTCCATCAAGAGAAATGAATAAATGATTAGATAAACTCGAATCAAAACCAATTTACCTGAGTAGTTTTACCACACCCTGTCTCCCCTGAGATAACAACCACCTGGTTTCTCTCAATCAATTCAAGGATCCTCTCCCTTAAAAATGGTGAAAAAGGTAAGTTATCAAAACAAAAATTACTAGCTATCAGACCGAGACTAAAACAACTTATGAATGCTACATGAAAACCTTAAATCTTAATATGCAGGACGTCATTAACAACCTGTCATCCACACAGCTTTCTTGGTGTCACAAATCTACCTGCATCAAGGACAAATGGCCTTGGATTCATGTGTGTCAGAATAGCCAGTTTTACCCCAACACCTCCCTTTCAAAATACAGACTAAAATATTTTAATGAAAGAGTATTCCAAAACACTGAAAAGAGAAAAAAAACCTGTGTGAAAACAAGGTCAAGACCTTCACTGCCATTGTCAAGCAGAGGGAACATCCAACACTACTTTACGTCAAGTGAACAAAGATTCTGGGAACAAGACTAAATGACCCGAGGATAACCTTTTGCTAACAAACTACAATATACCTGTGACTTGCAACAGGCAATGTCTTTGTCTCATCATTTAAACATAAATTTCTTGACTCCAGCATATTTCGCTTGTTTGAAAATTCCTGAAGCAACTGCTGACTGAGTTCTTTGTGTTGTTCTACTGATAAAGGTTTCCATGGAGAACCACTAAAAACATCTTTTATAACAGGGGATATAGGTGTACAGCTGACAGCACTGTGTTTTGTCTCCTTTTTGATGAATGATTCAGAAGCGTTTTGAGCGGGAAATGTTTCCCCATCTGAAAAATCATGTTCCTTCACTATTTCAGAGTCTTTCCAAAACTCTTCCGTGTTAGTTGATATAGACTGGGAATAACTGCCCTCAGGGAAAGCCATTTTATTGATGTGTACAGGTGATTGTTGGGCTTCCTGAGCTGGCTGGTACTGCAATATCTGTGGCTGATTTATAGGTCCATAAAGTTGCTGACTGAGTACTGAGTGTTTTAACAAAAATGATTCCAACTTAGCCAATTGTTCATCATCTATGTAAATCCAGCGGGGTTCATCTTTGTTCTCCACGGCTTCTCTCTTTAAAATACTGGCCGCTCCAATACTTGCAACTCCAAGTTTCTGTCAAGATCAATAAATAGAAAACAGAGCATTTCGCAAACCAGTTCCAATCAACTGAGTTTGATGAACACGTAGACAGAGTACAAATTAAACTATAATCAGACATGGTTTTGAGTATTTGATTTTTGCAAAAAGAAAAAAAAAACATTATTTCCAGGTGCACTAATTTTAATTCCCATTTTTAATTGTTTTGATTCTCGTATGGTTGACTTGTAATATAAATTCAGCTAATAAATAATAAAGAAGTAATGGACTTATATAGCGCCATATCCGACTGCTCTATGGCACTTTACAATACTGAGTTAAAAAGATAATGACTACAATTGATTAACCTATTGATGTCCAGTGCGCCCATAAGTGCCCGTGTGGAGCCTGACACCTTTTCCACGCCTTGTGACATCATCACTATTAACCCTGGAGCACGACTTTGAGCACGTACTTAAACAGGTTGAAAATATCTTACAAACGATACCAGAATGAGTGCAATTGAGTGAAGGAGACTGGAGAAATAGCCAAAAAACCATGTAACTTTGACATGAAAATCTGCACAAAAATCTTGTTCCATTACCCACCTACCTTTCTGAGCATGTGGTTTGAAAACAATGAGTAGTTTCCTAAAAAATCTCTACACCAAAATGAAGCCTACTAAA